TTAATTAATATGCATGACAGTAATATGTCAGGCACCATAGAGATGAGGAATGATACTAGTACTATAATTGGTGCATTCAACATGAGATATGACTAAAATATCAGATGACTATATATGGTCATGTGACTTAATTAATATGCATGATAGTAATATGTCAGACACCATTGCAGATGAGAAATGCTATTAGTGCTATAATTGAGGCATTTGACTTGAGATATGTCTAAAATATCAGATGACTATATATGGTCATGTGACTTAATTATTATGCATGACAGTAATATGTCAGGCACCATTGCAGAGGAGGAATGCTACTAGTGCTATAATTGAGGCATTTGCCATGAGATATGACTAAAATATCAGATGACTATATATGGTCATGTGACTTAATTAATATGCATGATAGTAATATGTCAGACACCATTGCAGATGAGGAATGCTACTAGTGCTATAATTGAGGCATTTGACATGAGATATGACTAAAATATCAGATGACTATATATGGTCATGTGACTTAATTATTATGCATGACAGTAATATGTCAGGCACCATTGCAGATGAGGAATGCTACTAGTGCTATAATTAAGGCATTTGACATGAAATATGACTAAAATATCAGATGACTATATATGGTCATGTGACTTAATTAATATGCATGACAGTAATATGTCAGGCACCATTGCAGATGAGGAATGCTACTAGTGCTATAATTGAGGCATTTGACATGAGATATGACTAAAATATCAGATGAATATATGTGGTCATGTGACATGATTAATGTGCATAACTGTAATACATCAAACGCCGCTGCAGATATTGATATGCAACCAGTGTATGAATAATGTTTCAGATGGTGATATATGGTCATGTAAGCTCAATAATACACATGACTGTAGCTTTTTAAAACTGAAACTGATGTAGTATATTTGTGGAATTAAGAACCACTTAATAATAAAACGCCGAAATGATGCATACTGACAAATAATAGTCCATGGAGTGATGCGTTTCAACTGTTACTTCATTCCAGCAGGAATATAATGTTATCAAATAAATAAATGTGAATAAATTGAAGCAAGGATCAAAGAATTCGCGCTAGTGTCGCGACATCACACTATTATTTTCACGTTAGATTTGAAAATGTGCATGTTAACTTGTTCGATTTGGTTGCAGCGAGACGCGTAGAATACATTGTTTGTTCGCACGAAATTCAAACACGAGTTGACAATGTCACTTTAAAGCGAGAGGGTCGTCACCTGCGCACGCGCGAGAATTGAGCCCCATGCGACGATAACATCACACGCTAAAATCGCAAAGGCTCACGGGTAAACACTTGTTTGTAAACAATGACACGCTATGGACATCTGACGCATGCGCAGGTCACGGTGACGACTCCTCCCGCTTTAATCGTGCTGCCGACAAAATTCCCAAAATGTTATATTCCTTTCTCTTTTTCTTCTGTTTTACAGTTTTTCATCAGGAGACCTGATTAGAATTTTCAATAAAAATACCTCTATCGAGGATATGAACTTTAATCAAAGTAATCGAAATCTACTGAATAAATCGACATACCAACTACCACGGCAGAAGAGTTGTGCAGTCGTTGGCAACAGTGGAATTCTACTTAACAGCTCGTGCGGGGAAGAAATTGACTCCAACGATTTGGTTATCCGCTGTAATATTCCAGATGTTTGGAATTATATAAAAGACGTTGGGAACAAAACGGATATAAATATTATATTCCAGAGAACGATGAGAGATCTATACTACCTGCTGACAAATGGAACCATCGCTCATTACATGCTACCCACGCGTTTGCACATTGTTAATAACACAATATTATGGTATCCAGAAAGTTTTCGGAGTGAACGAGTTACCGCAAATACAGCAAAGGTTGCTCTGAGGTACCTGAAATACAATATGCATCTTAACTTTCAATTCGCTATTTCAGCTACCCATGGATTCACCGGCAATCTCGGAAGGTACGTGTGCTTGCTATAAATAGTTTCAATAAGACCAAAGTTCCTTTCGAGAGAGCCATGCGACTTTTATTACACACAAATTGTGTTTCATTCTGTACCGCCATCGCTTATACTGTTCCGAAAACCGTGACTGCCATGGGGAGAGGTGGGTGTGAGGGCGTTGGAGTATACAACAATATCGGTGGGGGGGGGGGGACAAGTCGCTTCGCTCTTTTGTTCGCAACATGATATCGGCTGTCATTTGCGCCTTAGTTCCATTGACTACACGATACAAGTATAAGGCTAAATTGTCCTAATTTATTTTCTACCGTATAAAAATGAGATTTGTAAATATTAACATAACAGTCTGGTATGGATCATAGTCAATATACTAGTAAACGATATGTATTGCCAGTAAATTATATTATTACTAAATTCGGCAGAGGCAACTACTAGAGAAAATAAACACTGAATAATGTAGAATAAACAAACTGTATATTGTATATTTAAAAAAAAAAAAATAATTATAAATTTAAATTGTTTCATTGTGCTATTCGTTGATCAATAATGTCGAATTTCGTAGGATATGGCCTAACTTTTGTATATTATTATTTTTTTCAGATCAATAAAGGTAGCGAGACCCACAACTGGAATGAGAGCTATAGTTGCTGCACTAAGTCTCTGTGAATATGTCAATGTTTTTGGATTTTACCCATATGTTTTTGATCAGAATGGCAACAAAGTGTTATATCATTACTACGGAACTAATAGAACAATAGAAGATTTCGTTTCGAGCCACGATTACTCTAATGAGTTTGCAATATTACAACAATTACACAGTAACAATGTTTTAAGATTAGTTACAGGTGAATGCAAATAATAAATAATTTCCACTATTACGATTTGTTAAATTGAGAGAATAAATGTCTTGACAGATATTGGCCATGTATTTGTGAGTAAATACCTGTTGTTTAACTAATTTCCAACATTACAAATTGTTAAATTGGGAGAATAAATGTCTCAACAAATATTTGAGACTTATTTTGGTGTCTACCAAAACTACCTCGACCTGGGTCTTCTGTTTCTCTCTTGTCACGATCCAGTAACTGTTGACCAAATTGCGTGACCAAATTGCGTAATTCGTAAATTATTTAGTTTTTCATTGTGGAGTTTCGTAATGTTTATTGATATTTCGTGGCGTTCTTTGTTTATATGATTTGTTTCAGTTTATTTGCGTTTTTCAGGCAAAGCCAAAGCGAAGACGATTGCTTTGGTTCCGGTGAGCGTTTATCTATTAGGATTCGAACGCTTGTGTTGCAAGTTTGTTTGATGTTTATCACTATTAAAAATAAACATGCGATCAAGAAAGTGGTTGAACAGTTAATGGAATTGCTATGACATCTCAAAATTGCAAGAACGTTCAGCTGAAGAGTTTAAAAAAACGACTACCAATAGAAGGATGGGTGCTGCTGAACAGAAACAAGGAGTGAATTAAAACCACACGTGGCATTACTGAATCCCAAGCTTACAGGCATCTGTTTCATAATTAGATCACGTGATTTCCATTAAGGAGTTTAAATGATAATCATGAGGTCAAAATGCAGTTGGTTTCTTGTATTACTTAGTTCATCAAGATATTATAGTTAGGTCAAGTGCTTATGCATATTAATGAGGTCACTTGATCATAAATGACTGTCGCAAGGTTCGTTATGATATACATGTTGAGTTAAATTTAGTATTTGGAGAAAATGTACTATATTATAATACAGCCAGAGGTAGGATTATTTCACAGCCGAGCTAGTAGATGTTGACACACGTCGAAACTCCATTCACAAGAGACGCGTGCCATACTTGTGCCGGATATTCATTGCAACATGTTAAGAGGTTACCAAGAATGATGGTGCCTAGTGAATTTTGTAAGCGGATTTCAACTATGCTTAGTTGTCATGACAATGATGCCAGGTGGGGGACGTTATAAAAGGTCAAGGTAGATGCAGCCGCGGGGGAGGACACTACGAAACGACACAGCAGCAGCAGCCAGAGTCAGCCTTGTGATGCGAGTGAACGGGGAGAATAAGTCCATCACCACGTGGTTTATACAGGGTACTCGCCTAGTCGACGGACGTTGTGTAGAGACAGTGGAAGACTAGACTCGTGTCCTACCTGCAGTTCTACGGACCTTTTGTGTTCGACACGAGTTCTACAAAGTATTCTACGATAAACCATGCCTGGATATCGAACTGAATCTACATGTAGCAACGTTTCTACTATAGAAATTATCATGCTCGTTACACACACATTGGGCTAGGGACCATTGGCTGTGTTTTGAATGTTACTTTTAGCATTAGTTTTATTGTATTTTATATAACAGCCCGTTTCCTGCTTCAAAGTTTCGCGCGCCTATCGGCGCAGTTAAGTAGTGGTGTCGTTCGATACGTAAAGAAGGCTTTGCCCATTCTGAATCATCCCAGTTTGGGGTTGAGTATATGGGTTACCTACGGGACGCCACTGCTTTATTCCGCCATGACATGTGTGTTATTTTTTTCTATTGTACAGTGAATTCATGTTTCCCTGTGTACTATTGATATTATAAAACAGTTGTACAATTAAAACATCCTATTCTTTATGATATTACTGTGCATTTCATTGTGTGCGAGCGGGTCTGGTACGATAATTTATACAGGGGACAATCAACTAATCAGTTGGCTTGTTTTGATATTATAATCAGTAGGGTGTTAAAGAACCCACAGCACGAGGTGAAGGCGTGCCTCTTATATCTGTGGTCGGATGTTAGCCTACCCCCTACAATACAACAGTTTATCCCGTGTCAGCTACATTTTTAGTTCTAAACTGCAAGATACGACTAGCAGCAGAAAATTCACACGTTTCCTGGACTAATCCGGCATTTGCAACGTGATCCAACCTTTAAAAGGTCATGTTTACTTTCACACACCCACTCTGAATAATCAATGACATCATGAATTATTAATAGCAGTCAAATGCCCGCAAATGCGTCCGGTCGGGATTTCTTTCGCGGTCACGTTAGTTTTCGCGATCACGCTAAAAAAAACAATTGAATATTACTTTCTGTAAAACCAAAAAAGAAGTCCCGACTTTGCCAGTCTAATATAACAGTTATGAATAATAATGAGCTCACATGGTCATATTTAATCTTAGTCATATTTGTTGTCCAATGCCTTCATAACTGTATAGGTGTAACAGTGCTTGAGATATAAGTTATCAGTGGAGTTTACAAAAAAAAATACAGTAATAACAATTACGGAAAACCATGCCTAAACTATTACATTTGGAGTTATTTTAACCTACCAATTCCGCTACACAGAAGTATCCTCTCCATAACTTGGGTTTTCTTAAAACATATAAACGCCAAATGTCGAATTCCTTTCCATATGTTACACAGTTACGATCTGCTGGGAAAGCCAATCCTGATAAAGAATCGAATTTAGAATATTCTTTTTCATTCAAGGTCGTTCGTGGGCTTAATAAGTAAGGGAGAATTATCGCAAGCGTTGGTTTCATTTATTGATCATGACGTTCATCGATTTTTCATTATTTTTACAAGTCACGAAACATATTTTGATAAATGAACATTTTTTGAACAATGACCATAGGAATCCCTGTAAGCATCATTTTATAAAAAACAAATGGCAAATGGCTCAAACAGCACTATTTTATGGATGTTTGACAAATTTTCGTATTTATCTGGGTTTTGCGACAACATTGAAAAATAAAGCTATAATTTACGATCACGAAAGTATGATCTTCTGTTTTTATGACAGTTGTAGTTTAAGTGTATCTCATCATATAGCCATTTCTCGGAAAATCATTTGAATTATTGGTGCGATGAAGAAGCAGTACATCCAATCTACAGCGAGTCTCGATAATGAGCTCACTAACTTAGGGAGTACACTAATAAAAAAAACGATCAATTGAACTTAGGAAGGAAACTGATGTGTGATCAACTTTTACTGGACGCAATGATCCCGAGACCCGCCGTAGGCGGCAGTATTTTCATGCGAGGTAAATTTTGGATCACCATTCCTAAACGCGTAATTAGGACTGAGTCGAAAATCAATTGTGGATGCCAGAAATCAACCAAAGACGCTTATTTGGGTATAATTTGCGCTGTCAAGACAAAGTTAAGGTTAATAAAATAAGATTGACGACGTTTTCCTAGGAAAAAAAGTGAATTATTTGTTGAAAAAAGCGGAGAAAAACTGATACGCAAAAATCGTGACGTCGACTCTACGCATGCAATGTAGAGTCATGGAAATTGTCTACAGTACACGTACACGCATCTTTCGATGACGTAGATTATTTTGCCAGCCAGCCGAGAACGCCGTACAGACATTGTACTAAAGGTAAGAGCTCTTGTCCTTTTCCACACATTTTAATATATTCTTTACAATTGCTTTACATATAAAACTCTGCACACCATGCTATGATCATTCAGTCTTTTGAACTAAACGACTCATCGCTTAGCAAAGCTGATTTTCAGGATTTATTGACACATGATGTCGTGAATCAGGGAATCTAATGGCCAAAATAAATCGCCAGATACTGCGTCGTACATAAATGATGACAGCGATTTACCAGGCCTATGGCCTGTGAACTCATATGATTTGTGTCATGTGCACATGCACGGTGCGACTAGTAGCAATTACCTAACCTACCGGTTCTTCACGGCCAGAGTTGTCACGATGCATCTCAATAAAATAGCATCTAAAACCAAAATAAGGCCGATATGTGTAAATACTTGGCATTGGCAAAATGATGACCTCGGATGTAGCCATGTCTAGGGCATGGATATGATTTATAGTCTTTGCCTATTAATGTAATGTTATAGTGTCTATGAAGTATGTGATCATGATTAATCTTCATCATTCATGATAATTTGTGACCACGCCATTGATTATATAGGCTACCACACACTGTACAATATTGAGCAGAAAGTCATGCACGAAATTGCATTTCATTCACCACATAGGCATGGCTGGCTGTACTCATTCTTACTTTTTCATGACCATTGTTTGGCCCACTACAATTTTCTTGTGATTTAGGCAGATTTGTCACATGCAAGAAACAGCAAGGGCTGCAATGTGTACATCCGAAATGCTCTTATCATGCTTGTGAAGTTGCTATTGTAGGTAAATGGCCACAGCAGGAATGTACATAACTGTCATTTATTAGGCAGAAACTACTAGGGGCCAATTCTTTGTGCTCATGTCTACTTACACATGTACATCAGCGAAAGTTTTGCAGTCGCCAGCTTCCATTCTTGAAATGGTGCCACCGATCAACAGTTCATGTCACTCACCTCAACCTTAAACAATGACCGTGTTGTCATTTGTTATTAAGGTCAAATTTTATTTTTATGGAAATGAGTTACCTTTTTCTAAAATGAACAAACCTTCATATTAATATCATCATGTAAAAAACAATTGTTTAAAATGATTGTATTTGATATAGACTGAACATGTTGGGAAAAAAATAAATCTAAAATAATAAAATCCCTGTCTAACTTCCCAATATTTTTTACCCTAATACTGAAAACACCAAATTTGTTTTACATTGGCCTCATAATGGTTTGAGATCTTTTTAACATGGTCCTCATAAATAATGTGGGATGAACTGGTATTCTGTACAGGTCCATGCATTTACATTCACTCTGAATGGACAGTTGGATGGAGTGGTTTTTTTTTAGGTATAATGCACTGTAAAATGAAGCTTGCACACAAATAATCCGACACATTTTAGAGACAACTATCTGGTTATGAAAAATCTACGTAAAGGTAACTCTGTCAATCCTAAAAATAAACAACAGCTCGGAGGGTGTGAACGGGATCGGTTTGAACTGCTGTTTTTAGGCAAATCCATGCGGTTGTCCTGGGATTCCCCACGATTGGGTACAAAAGCAGAGAAGTTTAAAATTAAAATTGTTATCCATAAGCCATTTAATTTTTATTGGGGTGGGCGGAGTAAGCCTGTGATTATTTTTATTACTGTTTGACCACCAAGTTTGCCATTCACCATGACCATTTCCATATAAAAAAAGCTCCAGCCAATATCAGATCCGTCTCCCTGTTCTAAGGTGTGGCACTTGGGAATTAGTGTTGTGGCATGTGGCAAATGTCCATCTGTCTTGGGTCATAGGATCGGCTAAATTTTAACTAGAAACTGGTAAACCGGTAAACCTGTATGTACGAAGCCAGTGAATTTGATTCAAGCAAAGGATATATATAAATATATAAATATACA